TTTTTCTTCATGAGGCTACAGGTTTTCCAGTGAATAAGACTCACTCTTCGTAGTTCTCGAAGTATTGTGTGGCCATGAGGACGTTGTCCAGCACGAAGGCGTCGGGGTCGCTTGCGATGAGGTGGCGCAGCTGGTCCAGGGCGCCCTCGCTCACCTCGAGCACGTCCCTGAGCGGGTACACGACGTCCCCCTCGGCGGGCAGGACGTGTCCCCGGCGCGGCGGGTGCCAGCCCGCCTGCCTGGCCCTCACGGGCCCCCGTGACGCCCTGGAGCGCGAGTGCGAGTTGCCCATCGCAAAGCGAACTACGGGGAGCTGTCCTGTGCTTCTCTGGCAGGGCGAGCAGTCCGATGTGCCCTAAACCAAATCACACAGTGTGGCCGGGCTGACCGTGTGAGCCGCTGGGCCTGCGGCTGGGCCGGGCGTCTCAAGTATGCATATCAAACAGCTTGTAAAAAATGCTCTTCAAGTCGTAATCGCTCGCGGCTCTTATGTAGTGTGGACGACCCTACACAACACGTTCGGACGTTAAATGGTGGGGTGGGGTGGGGTCGCACCAACGGGCTCCGGAGCACGCGGTCAACTCACTTCTTGTAGGCGCCGCGCACTTGGCGCATGAGACCTTGAGGGTCTTACTGTTACCGTTACCACCGTCGTCCGGATTCTTTCTTGGAACAGTCTAGGCTAAACGAAAACAAATCTTAATCAAGAATCGATGATTGAAAGCAGATGATAAACATAATTAAGGAGAGGGCTGTGTTCTAATTTCTCCCATATTTAGAAAAAATTTGCTTGCAATCCGGTGACCTAGTGCCATACGTATGAGGGGAGAAGGAGCGAGAGCCGAGAGAGCAGAGCGCGGGAAGGCCCAGTAAGTTGAGTAGTCGGGCTGTCGGGCTGGCGTTTCAAGACACCAGTAGGTGGGGCACGACACTCCAGCTCCACTTTTGGCCCCCAATAATTTTCTACCCTATACCTCTCTACTCGAAACACGAGAGTTCAAGCAAATGACACATGTCATGTGTTCGTTAGTATATATATATTTTTTTTAATCTGCTAAAAATCGCAACTTTTGCTAACTTTGACTACTCAGCGGAAGTGGCGCGGTCGAGCGCGGTGCTAGATTCTTTAGGCCCCAGGTCCTGGTGTCAATGAACCTCAATCCTTCACTTTGACCTCTGACCTCTAAATCCGACTACCTGACCCCAGATCAAGGGTTTCAAACGGCTGGAGAGGGTGGGACTTACGTCGTGTGCGTGCAACATTTTTTTTATCTGCAAAATGTGACGTCATATCCCTTCACCTCTCTCACCTGTCGGCGGTCGATGAGTGGTTGAGAAGAGGAATGACACTTTGCTGATAGGATGTTGCAGACACCCGTCGCTATGTGATCTTGAGTGTGAGTGAGAGGCCCCACTCGTGCGTGTGGCCCGACCATCATGCGTCATCTCAGTCTGAGACCCCTTCCCTATGAATACTGCGGTTCGACTTACGGGGGAGATTGGGAGGGTCATGACGTCATGGATTATCGCGCTCGAAGTCGAACCGTGAATACTGGTTAAAATGGAGTGAAATGTTCCTGAATATTAGTGAATATGAGTGAATACGTGGTAGTGTATCTCATCTGGATATTATTGCATACAAATTCTTTCTCGAACCACGAATATCCGAAGTTGTGGCTCCGCGCGGTGCGAGTGCGACATGACGAGCTGGAGACGGCTACCTTGAGCCAGCGATATTCAGGGTGGTCCGTCAGCGCCGTTCATTCTTCCGGTCCGGTCGTAATGTACTGGATGTGGGCGGGCGGGCTTGCCTATCGTCGCTCACCGTGGCGCCTCACGGCCCCGCCGTACCGGGTGATTCAGAGAAGACGCAGGTGTGGGCGGGTTTACCTATCCTCGACTCGGCGGGCGCACCGGTCCCCCCTTCACCTCTCCCCAGACCTGGACCCGTGCGCCCGCCGAGTCGAGGATAGGCAAACCCGCCCGCACCTGCGTCTTCTCTGAATCACCCGATACGAGCATACAACCCGTCCACAGGCCTGCCCCGCATCCGGTGCAGTTTAACCATAAGAAAAGGCGGCGCTGACGGACCACCTTTAACATAGTTTGGCCCCTGCCTTTGTTGAAGAGCTCGCAGTGCATGTTGCCTACCCGCGCTGCTCTGTTTGGTGGTCGGTGCACGTGCGCTTGCTCTGCGCGCCTTCGGGCGGCGGCCTCGCCACGGCCCAGGCGGGCTGCCTGCCCGCAGGGGCTGCCTCGACATCACGTGCCTAGTCACGCGGCAGGCACGGCACATTCTGTGACACTATCGGCCCCTCTGCCGCTTGCAGGTGGAGCCCGTCCAGTGGACGTTTGAGAACTTGGAGGCGACGGACGAGGAGAAGGGCGAGCTGAAGCACCTCGCCGACTTCCTGGCCAAGAAGCAGTTCGAGCTCGTCATCAACCTGCCCATGCGCAATGGTGGCGCCCGGCGCGTGTCCTCGTTCGTGACGCACGGCTACCGCACGCGGCGCCTCGCTGTGGACTACTCCGTGCCGCTCGTCACCGACGTCAAGTGCGCCAAGCTGCTCGTCGAGGTATGTATAACGCCAGTTGTCGGGTGTTTTAAACCGCGATGGATGTAGCATCATCAGTTGTCGTGTGTGTGACCAGGCCATGCTGCGCATCGGGGTGGCTTCTCCGCCCATGAAGACCCACACGGACTGCGCGTCGTCCAGCACGATGGTCCGCCTCCCCGGTCTCATTGATGTCCACGTGCACGTGCGGGAGCCGGGCGCCACGCACAAGGAGGACTACTCGAGCTGCACTTCAGCCGCCTTGGCTGGCGGTGTCACCATCATTTGCGCCATGCCCAACACTCAGCCAGCCATCACTGATGCTTCTGCCTTCCAGCTTGTGAAGGAGGTTGGTCCCGCCCATCGCCTCTAACACCTGTGAGTTTGCATTTGACAATTAACTCATCATTTGTTACAAATGTTTTCTTTCCAGCTGGCGGCCTCAAAGGCAAGATGTGACTATGCTGTGTTTGTCGGAGCATCATCAGAGAACTTCTCAACAGTCCGAGAGCTGGCCCCACTGGCTGCAGGCCTCAAGATGTACTTAAATGAAACTTTCACCACTTTGAGATTGAAAGACCTCACCGTTTGGAGAAAACACATGGATGCGTGGCCTCACAAATCGCCATTATGTGTCCATGCAGAGGGCCAGACCACAGCTGCTGTTCTCCTCTTGGCCACATTCCACAATCGCCCCATTCATGTTTGTCATGTTGCCCGTAAAGAGGAAATTCAGATTATTCGTGCAGCTAAGGAGAAGGTGAAATAATTTTAATTAGTCTCATGTGTACTTTACTGTTGAAATTGAGTCAAGTGTTGAGCAAGGTATGGAATACAATATTAACTTGCTAAAATATTTCAGGGCTTACCGGTCACTTGTGAAGTGTGTCCGCATCATCTGTTTATGTCAGAAAAGGATGTGAAGCAGCTTGGTGAGAAAAAGAGCCGAGTAAAACCGAACTTGGTAACAGAGGAAGATCAGCGAGCCTTGTGGGAAAACCTGGACATTATTGACTGCTTTGCAACTGACCATGGTTGGTGTCCCTAACTCATAAAATTGTTACTTTGTATTCTTGTTGCAAAGCATGTTTCTATCTCATTTCCTTTCACTTTAGCTCCTCACACAGTAGAGGAAAAGGATTCTGAAAACGCCCCACCTGGTTTCCCCGGATTGGAAACTATGCTGCCACTTCTCCTGACCGCTGTTCATGAAGGCAAATTGACTCTGGAGGTTTGTATTTTTTATAAGTTCTGTAGTCATTTACTTTTTTAAAAATTTCCCTCTATGCTTTTGCTTATTGTGTTCATTTGCTGTACAGGACATTAAGGACAAATTGTACCGCAATCCCCGGCGTATATTTAATTTGCCAGAACAGCCTAACACTTATGTAGAAGTGAATATGGATGCAGAATGGACAATTCCTGAAGTCCCTCCATTCAGCAAAGCCCGCTGGACTCCTTTTGCTGGAAGAAAAGTTCGTGGTTGCGTGCAAAGGGTTGTCCTTCGAGGAGAGGTTGCTTATGTGGATGGTCAAGTATGTCAGACTTCAACTTCCCATACAGATAGCCGCATCTTACCTCTTGCCTATGGCTTATTAATTTTACATACTATTCTTTTCAGGTACTTGTCCCCCCTGGATTTGGACAAGATGTCCGAGAACTTCAAAACAGGAAACAGCCATTGCTTAGTGCATATACTTCATCAGCCCCTGCTGTCAATTACTATGCTGACCCTATTTTGCCAAGTAGTCGTCCATCTTCTGCCATGGACTTCGACCGCTCACAGATTTTGAGGGAAATGGATGATTCTCATAGACATGAAAATGGATTGGATGGCTCACATGAACGTCTCCACCACTTAACACCAGATCCTCAATCAATCAACAGATGTTCATCACCCTTGTTAAACCACACACACTCACGCATCCGTTACAATAGTGAGTCCAGCCTATATCCTGGAGCTGGGGGTCAAACTACTTCTCTGATTGGTGCTCATGTGCTCAGTGTAAAAATGTTCTCCAAAGACCATCTCAATGAAATATTTAACTTGGCACAAACTATGAGAGCATTTGTGTTGAAGGAGAGAAATCTAGACCATATTCTGAAGGTAGGTTTTACTGATTTACCCATCCAACATTGACACTTATTGCTCATAGAGCTTGCTAATTAATGTTTTGTGGAAACATTTTAGGGGAAAATTATGGCATCAATATTTTATGAAGTTTCCACTCGCACCAGCTGTAGTTTTTCTGCAGCAATGTTGCGCTTAGGTGGTCAAGTCATTCACATGGATGAAACTTCCTCATCAGTGAAGAAGGGTGAAACTCTAGAGGGTATGTGATAAACTGTTTTCTCTTTTTCTATTTAAATTTTTCAATCTAATAAATTTTTTGCACACTTCTATACATGTAACTAATAAAGCCAAAAATTATTTCATAGATTCTGTGGCTGTGATGGCTGGGTACTCAGATGTTGTGGTTTTACGTCATCCAGAGCCTGGTGCAGTGAATGTAAGAACTTTTGTTTTGTAATTTTTTGTATTACATTATCATTTTTCACACATTTTTCTATTCTCTACAGAAAGCATCTGCTCATTGTCGCAAGCCATTAATAAATGCTGGAGACGGAATTGGAGAGCATCCAACTCAAGCATTGCTAGATGTCTTTACCATTCGAGAGGAGATTGGTACAGTAAATGGCCTCACTATTACAATGGTGGGAGACCTGCTGCATGGCCGTACCGTTCACTCTCTGGCTCGTTTGCTCACTCTTTACAACATTCAATTGCGTTACGTTGCCCCTCCTGGTCTCGGAATGCCTCAGCATGTTGTTGATTTTGTCAAGAGTAAAGGCATCCCTCAAGAAAGTTATACTACTTTGGAGAGTGCCTTACCCGAAACAGATGTTTTATATGTGACTAGAATTCAAAAGGAACGCTTTGCTTCCCAGGAAGAATATGAAAAGGTAATGAAATTTTGTAGTGGTCCATTTCTACTTGCTTTGTGCTCTGATTTCAGAGGAAAAATAATTTTCTGTGTTTCCTTCCTTGCAGGTCAAAGGGTCCTATGTTGTCACCCCCAAGCTCATGACACGTGCCAAGCGTAAAATGATTGTCATGCATCCTTTGCCCAGAGTTGATGAGATAAGTGCGGAGTTTGATTCTGACCCAAGGGCAGCGTACTTCAGACAAGCTGAGGGTGGAATGTATATCCGTATGGCACTTCTTGCAATGGTTATGGGGCGCTGTTGAAAGTTAACATGTGTTACAGCCATAAAACTGTTTCCTTTCACATACTCGCTTTAAATGAATTATTTTTGATGTGAAAGTTGTACAGACATTTTTGCAATTGTCATTTCA